CAATGATAAAGAAATAACGACACGAAGAATAAGCGAATAAAAAATTCAAACTATAATTTCAGGCTTTTGTAAGATGTACTTCTCAAGTATATTTTTTACAAGTTGAGACTGTAAACAAGCTATGTATTACAATTTCTTACCAATACGGTTTATACAATAACGAATAATAATGTTGTAGTCTTGTCATAGTACTTGTCAAGTAAATTTTACTTAGACACATGTACAAGTAAAAAATTGGGACATAAGCTTGGTATACAAAGCTATGAATGTGAATTACTCATCAATACCGTTTATACAAAAGTGAATAATAATATAGCATTCATGGCATAGTACTTGCTAAGTAAATTTTACTTGGCTACATGTACATGTCAAAAATTGGGACAGTTGGCAAGTTATTAATGTCAATTACTCGTCAATACGGTTTATACAAAAAACAAATAATAATGTAGCAGTCATGACATGGTACTTGTCAAGTAAATTGTACTTAGCCACATGTGCGAGACAAAAATAGTATTGTGGACAAGCTATGCATGTTTATTACTCGTCAATACGGTTTATACAATAACGAATAATAATGTTGTAGTCTTGCCATGGTACTTGTCAAGTAAATTATAGTTAGCCACATGTGCAAGTAAAAAATTGGTACTCAAAGCTATGAATGTGAATTACTCATCAATACGGTTTACACAAATCGAATAATAATATATCAGTTATGGCATAGTATTTGCTAAGTAAACTTTACTTGGCTACATGTACATGTCAAAAATTGGGACAGTTGGCAAGTTATTAATGTCAATTACTCGTCAATACGGTTTATACAAGAAACAAATAATAATGTAGCAGTTATGACATGGTACTTATCAAGAAAATTGTACTTAGCCACATATACAAATCAAGAAATGATATTGTGGACAAGCTATGTATGTATATTACTCGTCAATGCGGTTTATACAAAAACGAATAATAATATAGCAGTCATGGCATAGTACTTGTTAAGTAAATTTTACTTAGCTACAAAAATTGGGACAATTGACAAACTATTAATGTCAATTACTCGTCAATACTGTTTATACAAAAAAACAAATAATAATTTAGCAGTCATGACATGATACTTGTCAAGTAAATTGTACTTATGCACATATACAAGTCAAAAAATCGGACAATTGATAAGCTATGAATTACTCGTTAATTCGATTTTTACAAAAACGAATAATAATGTAGAAGTCCAGACTTGGTACTTGTCAAGTTAATTGTGCTTACTCAAATGTACAAGTAAAACATTTGGTCTGTTGATAAGCTATTTTGGAACTAGAAATATAATCAAAATATGGACAAAATAGAATATATTGAACAATAAAAAAAAACAAGATCATTACAGAAACATAAGGAAACCAAGTTTCCAAAACTATATTAATTTGAGTTAGTGCATACAATTAAACGGAACAATTATGCTCATATGACCCTAAGTTTCCAAGTTTCCAGTTAAGAAACCTAATGTAATCACATTACGTCCAACATAAGTTACATAGTCGAAGTTTGTGTGTTACAATATTAATCACGAGGAACTAAATTTACTGACATTATTTAAATTAGTACACCTGCGTACACCACCTACTCAAAAGATAAACTAATAAAATAAAAAGAAAAATTTCACTGTATTCAGAAACATTCGTATACCAAAAGTATTATAAAAATTGGTGCATATTCCACAAGTACTAGTAACTTCGTATATCAAACGTACTTTGATCCCACTATTACAATGTTAATAAACTGTAGAAAATATAGATAAATACAGTAGCAGTGATTACAGCTACAGTTTAAATATTAATTATTTTATATTGGAGACATCTTCATTAAGAAGAAATTTAAATAAATAATTAAAATACATGTATCGATAAAGTGTAGTACGAAGCGTGCAAAATTCAATTTGGTCCTACCTTTTCGTCCATCCACTTCTCTTTTTTTTATTTCGTTTTATTGCGATAAAAAGTAATTTGATCCGTTGATTAAATCAAACCCAGCAATGCAGTCTTCTAGTTCGTTCGTTCTTGTATTCGTTCATGGGACAGTTGCGAATTGAGTATCGTAAAGTTTTCTAATAATGAGACCGGTCGTAGTCGATGAAAAACTCTCCAAAGTTATTTCACCGGATTCCGAACAGCTGTATAAACGAATAATCGATGACTATTCCATAGTTCATAAATCCGTTCGTGCAGCAATTTAGTCTGTCTGTTGCAGGTCTATTATACATCTTCTTTGGAATGTTGATAATATATATTTAAAATGAGAGATTTCTATAGAAAAATTTAACGTCGGAACTTTTTACAATTGATATTTGATACTCCATTGAAATATATTATTCAATACAAGAAAATATGCAGTTGCTTCTTATATTACAGAAGCGGCTCTTCATTAGCTTAAACTTATTACAAATAGTAATAGTAAACAAGAATCTAAAAAAAAACAATAGAAAAAGAAATACGGTATCTCGACTAACGACCATTCGCACTTGCGACGAAATATATTTCATAAAGTAAAAAGTTTTTATTTGTATTTATTTAATTAGTTTATTTAAAAAATTCACTTGGAAATAAAAACTTCAATATTCTTTACCAAAAAGAATTTATTACCTAGTCTAGATTATAGTAAATATCCAGCTATTTCATGAAATTCCGGTTATAGTTACAATATCTATATTATTTGAAACTTTAACTAATTACAAAGACTTCAATATTTTTAACTAATTTCATGTATCGAAGGTAAACCTAGTACATATTATATCTATTTCATGAAATACCAAATACAGTTTTCAAAATAATTAGTTGTATACTGTAACTAATAGTGTGCAAAGTATCAATCGGTCTTTTTCGGTATTAATGCAAAATTATTTCGCAGATCGAAGTTTTCTATTCTATTCTTTTTCTAATAATTTCACACATTAGCAATATCTATTACATAATCTATGAAATAATGAGAATAACGGATTAGATACTTATTTATTATTTGTAATAATTAGCACCTGCTGTTTGTAATTACATTTTCCCCATATTTTAGTTACACATATGCGATTATATACTGACTATATTGAGCAATACATATAAATTTTCATAATTACATTATAACCGGTAGAGCAAAATGTGAAGCAATAATCAGAAGTAACGAAGATTTATTTGTTTAGGTGGAAATTAATAATTGGAAATAAATGAAATTAACCGATCTTGCTCGCCTCAATTACTTTGGAAACTTTTCACAATCAATAGCGGCAAACAAAGCGCGGAAACTCGGAGAAAATATATTATTTAACTCGCTCGCTGAGTGAGAGAGAATGAGACTGATCGAAGCTATACATCATCGTGGAAATCGATAAATACGACAAAAAAAAATAATAAAAATAAAACTCTCACCTTGCCTCGCACGGAAATAGACAAGCATAGACGGCATAGGTAAACTTTTAATTAGATATCTGTTTTCATGTTCAGAACTATTATTACATTTCAGAACGCCAATTATACGTCCATCGAGTACTTTGATATGTTGCTAGTTTAATAATGTGCAGTTAATTTTACTTAGAAATTTGAAACATCATTGGAATATACAATTACTAGTAGTACCTATAATTAATACTCACAGTCTTGCACATAAGCTCAGTATTATCGCCGAATTTACAACAAATGCACAATTAAAATGTATTTTAGGCCCGCATTTATTTGCTTCAGGGGCTAGAAGCGGCCCGCGGGCCGGAAATTTGATATTAAAGTGGTAATAGCATATCAAAATACAAATATAATCGAATAAAACGATAAAACTTCTTTCAAATGAAATTTCTACTCTGAGAAATAATATGAATTTGATTAATCCGTTCCAAATTCTTAAAAGTTACACAATATCAAATATTTTCTTAATTAATCAGAGATAGAAAACGGATTTTCCTTTTTTGTTTGACTTTCAAGTTGTTCGAATATCAAACTTTTCTTAATTATACTGTATTATTAAAAATAATATTTGTTTTATGTAACGTTACTACATTTTTCTTCAAGACTTATTACAAACTTCAAGTTAAGCAATTTACATGGAATTGATTATTCAAAGATTGAAGTTATTTGTAAGTAAATACTACAAAATTATTGTATATTTTAGTATGTTTTATCTATATAAATAAAATAACTACAGAGGAATTTCAAAGAAATTTCATAAAACTTTAAACAATACCATAAGAGAAATAATACACTAGCTTCAAGATTATGTAAAATATAAAAAAAATGTGCAATGTGGAGACAAAACAAAAATATTCAGTTTTATTCAGTTGGAATCTACATCTTACGTATTTTTGTACTAAAACCGAAATTTTGATTCAGGAATTGAAAAGTTCGAAATTTTTCAAAAACATTTTAACTGTAATGCATATAACACCCTTATTTATTGAATAAATTTTGCATTGATGTTAAATGTTAAATTCGAATCGTATTGTTACCAGTTCTTCATAAAATTTCCATTTAATTCGACAATTAATAGTCTAAAAAATGTCAAGCTGCTTGAAAAGATAATATTGTATTAAATTTAATTAAAAATAACATATTTTTTAAATTTTTCTAAATTCGATTATAATTATAAAAATGCTAACTTTCATTAAAGAAATAAATAATTAATTGTTGTGTAAATGCGTAAAACAATGGGTTTAATTTCGGCATGGAAAACAAATATTATTATAGTTTGTTATAAATATATATATGAATTAATATGAATAATGACGAAAGTTATACATAAATCATGAAATTTTGTTTATCATCCAGTCGGTTTGAATCCGTTATCTCCGCGTTTTAAACGTTTATGCACATCATCAATCAGCATTATCATAAATTATTATTAACCGGTAATGATCCATCAATGTATATAGTTTATTTATGCGAACGTTCATTATTTCGAACCGTATCTAAATTAGTTCCGCCATAGACTTTTTCCATTAAACGCAATAATACTTCTTTTTGTTTTTCATTTTGCAGAGATGGCAATCCTTTTACCAGGATCACTGTCGAAGTCGAGGAAGTCCAATGAGACGGATCTTCGACACAACTTGAGGATCAACTATCCCGAGGAAAACTTGGAATACGACCCAGCGAAACAGTGAGTAGTAAACGAATTGATCCGCACTTATCGGCCCCCTTTTCACCCCCCATTGCACGCATACTTTATTTTTATTATTATAAAGGCTATTATAAAGCCGTTACGATTGACGCGTGCCATTTTCTGATTGGGGGGTTCTTGTGGACAGGAAAAAAAAATTGAAACGGAAGATGCAGGATCAAAAAAAAAAGTAAATAGAATGTACAAGGAATAAGGAAATTTATTTTCCTTGGAATTCTCTCGCACACGTTTGCGTGATGTGCCGATGGGGGTTGCTTGTTCGCTCCTTTTGGAGATTGCTTTTCGCGAAACTTCGATTGTCAATCAGAGCGAAACGCCCGCGACTTCACTATATCACCTTCTTTCTCTCGACCCTCCTATAACGCTCCCCACATCTACACATCTCTCTCTCGTCCTCTCTTTTATAGGGAAGATCGCTTGCTCTATTTGTGATACTTTCCATTTATCACTGTCGCCGTCTGCGCCGAAACAATCGCTACGGATACAACGAATTTATCACGTTTCGCACGTTTCTTTTTTTTTATATATTCAAACAATTGTGTTTACATTCGATCACCAACTACTTCATCCCATCGCGTCATATATACATCATTGATCATTCGAATTACTGCAAATACAACGAGCTCATTTATAGACATATTGCTAGTAATCAAATATGAAATATTTACGGAAGAATTCTCATCTTAGAAACTTTAATAATCGAAATCTCAACTTACATATATATATATATATTTAAAAATAATAACTAAAAAATTCAATTTGGTGGTAAATGCACAAATATTATTAATAAGATCACTTCGTAGCATACAATTACATATTCACTTAGGAATTCCCGAGAATTATTATGATTTGTATTTCCCGAGAAAAATGTAATACATCAATATGTTCCTTATACTCAAATAACAAATATAAACTAACTTATTTTTTTAAAGAATAGTTGAACAATTTTAATCAATATTCTAAATGCATAGATTTATATATTCTTTAGAAATTGTATATTGCTATTATATAAGTTTTACAATATAGTATTTGTAAATTTATATTTCAAGGAAATATTTATCAAATAAACTATAGTTTTTTATAATTATTTTCATAATTATTTAGAAACAAAAAGCACTCATTTTCATGCCATTCTAATTTAATCTTAATAAATTAATAATTAGGATATTTACTTAGAATTTACTACTTTATAAATAAATTGACTTTAAAATGGTGCATGCGCCGGGTGAATTTATTTGTAAATGTAGATATTTTTTAATTTTCATAAAATATATTTACATTTTTCACTGTAATCTATACGCCCTTTCTTATTTCATTTCATTAATAATTAAATTTAATTAAAATAAAGATAAACTTTTGCAGCTGCAAAGTTAAAAAAATAAGTACAATTGCCTAGATTTTTAAATTAACTAATATTTTTTTATAATTCATAATTTACACATATTTCAGGAATTCCCGGTAATTATTATGATTTGTTTCTTTTTGTAACTCAGAAGTTTTTGTAAAGTTAAATAAATGAAAATATAATAAAACTAGTATTAAACCTTGCAATATCGAAGAAAATTGCAGAAACTATACCAAAATTTGATACAGTAATATCCATAATTATATAAGTACCATCAACTATATTGTTATGTCTAGAAAAGTTCTAGTTTTTTTTTATAACTAACGATCTTCACTTATTCCTATTGGTATTTATTTATGTTGATACACTGAATCGTTTAATTTATATAAAAATATGTTCTGTTATATTTTTTTAACAAATGAGTTTGTTTGATTTCAAATTCTCAAGTTTTGGAGACTAAAATAATGTTAGATGTACTAATTTAATTTTGACTATGAATGAAATATATCTGGACATATAGTTAACATCTGAGACAAATTGTAAAATTTGATTTCGCTTCGCTCAGAAACTGTGATTTTGCTATCATGTAGTTTGAAGAGCGAATGTGTCATGTTTGTTTTGTACGAGCTTTGAATACTTAGCAAACATATGTTTTTGAACTAGTATCGATTGGAAGTGTGTATACATTTGTGATGCGTGTACTTTCGAGGTTCGTATAAATACATCCAACGAAAGATAAAAGGTTCCTGAAGGAGTTGCTTTAGTCCATACAGAAAGATATTGTATTCTCAATTGGGCAATCGGTCAGGTGGGGGTTATATAACCGCCGACCGTTATAAACGCCTTCAGCCATTTATCTGGAAGGGCGGATGTGCTTTGCCGACCGCAACAGCTTCTTGTTTTATTCAACGCTGTATAAAATGGCATTTATATTAAGTTAAGTTTTCGATAATCTCTGTAGGGATAGTTGTATGTGTTTGTGCGTGAGAGAGAGAGGAGAGTTTTTAGTGGTCGAGGATGCAAAAAGCTGCAACAAGCTGGCGGAAAGCGGCGGTCTTGGCGCAAATGCATGTTTTAGAAGTTTCCGGGTTGCGGGTACGATTGCGGACCGTGTTAGTTTGAAATATTTCCTGGGACCCTTCCTGTGTACGAACGGCGACGGTTTTAGCAAGTGACTAATATTTTCGCAAAAAGTTTGCGCACTTCAAACGCAAGCAGACTTTCCGGCCAACCAAACCAACGTACTAATTACAACTTGAATTATTCGGTGAATGCAAATTTTAATTTTCAGCAACAGTAATTACAAATACAGATGACATAGTTTGGTGGGGTGGTTAAAGGCTGTTCCGCTAAATAGAAATAGCGAGAGAGAATGAGAAGAAGGAAAAAAGGGAGCGAACGTGACTTCGAGCGTGCTCCAGATAACTAGCGTCGGGCGCCCGAATTCACCTCCTCCTATTTTTTTTCTGCTTTATCGTATTATTTAAAAGGCCCTACCATATCTGCTCGCTTTATGCAGGGAATCTTATCTAGTAAATGAACCAACCTCGAGCACAAGGAGCGCCTCGTAACAATAAAATCCCTTATCCCATCGTCCCTATGCGCATTCAACATCTCCTTTAACCAATAACCGCTTAACTTTTAAACTTTATTCATTAACTTGCCTAGACTATTCGGGTTTCATTTATTCATTTGCTACTCTCATGGGTGAAGTAGAAAACTTAATTGCAACCAACTTTTTAATTGAGAAATTTCTTTAACGCCATCATAAATCCTTTTTTACTGCATTATAAACAACTCATTCAATAATCCTTTGATATTACTTCTTACCTATAAACTAGTAAATATATATTTTAAATATTCACGTCAATTATGCAATAAATGTCAATTGATTTTATTTTTTAGTTTAAAATTAAATTAGTATATAAATATATTAATTTTCGAACAACAGAAAACTAAAACCAATTAGGGTTTATACATAAATCGACTTTAAAAAAACAGTTTTCGAATTTCAATTTGTCTACAAAACCGGCTTTCAGGTTTTCGACTTTTTTCTAAAATATAGACAAAAGGATTTTCACAAAATAAAATCTCATAAAACTATAACAAAATAAAATTTACTCCAAAGAAAATCATACAGATTAACTAATAACAGAGTCATGTGTCTATAATGACTATAAAATATTATTTTATTTCTTATTTTCTTCTCAAATAATGTGATTTTAGAAAGGATGTAATGTCTATTGCTCAAACAAGTTCTTTTTAAGATAGAAAATTTACAGAAATAGACACTTGCTACATGCACAAACGTCACATTCATTGCTAGTACCAGACGTTTTTTTACGTTATTACAAGATTTCTTCCTACTGACAAACTGGATGCTCTTTTAGCGAAGAGTAGTTGAAGGGGAAATTTATAAATTGTGTCATTTTATTGGTTGTTATATTTTAAGTATAGACTCGAAAACCAGGTTTTTAGTTGAAATAAACCGGTTTTCGAATTTTATAAATTGCTTCAAAAAATCGATTTTCCTAAACCGGGTTTTAAAAACGGACAAACCCTAACTCACAATACAAGTTACAAGTTTCGGTTCTCTGATCAAAATATCAGATTTATTTTTGTTATTAAAATCTGTATCAATAATTAATAAATAAAGGAATTTTGTATTAAACATTTGAACATATTTTTGCAATTATTATGTTAAATCTATTATTGCAAATTGGAAAACCGATATAGTAGAAAATTTTTGAACAATTAATTAATTTAAAAAATGTTGACTATGAAACTATTTATTTCAAATTATTTTTTCGTTTCAAAAAATATATAAAGCTATCAATTTAAATAACTTTACTAAAGTATATGTATTTCAATATACTCTGTATAAAGATACGGATAATAAAAAAATAAACATAAAATATGGTTCAATATGTTCCACTGATTTAATTTTAAATGGAAAATTGATTTCTGCTTTAATGCATGTAAACCGCTCTTATAATAAACGTTAATGTATATTTAATGTGAATAGTATATAAATTACATTATAAATACCTATAAACCTTGCAATATTATTATATGATGAGACTTTATATTTATTTAATTTAATTAATTAAATAATACTTAATATTATATATTAGGTGAAGTAAAAAGTTTTGAGCGTTTTTTGTTAGATGGCTTTACTGAGCCATATCTCACTATGTATATGTGAATATAAAACAGTATTGTATTTAGTGAATCCAGTAGTGTGTTAAATGGAGGTAACAAAAGAGAAAATTCGGTACATTCTTCTGTACCACTACGACCAAGGAGAAAAGCGGAGCAGGCGCCCAAAAAATGTTGTTTCTTTATAGACCCAATACAGAATTAAATGCAACAGCAAAACGTTGGTTCCAACGCTTCCGTTCTGGTAATATGGACGTCGAAGATGAGACACGCTCTGGTAGGCCAATCGTCGAAAATGTTGATAGAATCATGGAAATCGTCGAGTTGGACCGGCATACGACCACTTATTCCATTGCCCAGGAACTGAAGATTAGCCAGAAAACCGTTTGGAACCATTTGCATAAGGCTGGTTTCAAGAAGAATCTCGATCTTCACCCAATACAACTAATAATTGAAACTATTGACAATTTCAGCT